ATTCCTGAGAGATTGTTGAGCACCAAAGACACTCCACTTGGAGCTTGTCTTCTTGACAAAACTGGCCTCTGGGCAAGGAACTGCCCATACCTCAACTACTGACAAATACACAGTATCTGGAAATGGATAAACAGAACTGTCAAATCTTGCCATGACAGGGTAAGATGGTTTTGAAAAATCTCTTGCCTGTTAAAAATAATCTGTCAGTTATTCTAGGCCTTAGTCAAAGTTGGTTGCTTCAACGCTGCAAACAGATCTTTGGTGATTGCCCAGGTAGCCAGTTGTCTCTGTGACTTGTTGCATGTTTTGGAAGTTCTTTGATTGCACTTCCTAATTACTCAGGTAACATTATTTCCCTTCTCGGATCTTCTATGGGGTTGAAGACTAGATAAATGTAGCTACTTTCCTCTCATGACTTGGCCAAGTTATTTATTATACAAGATTTTAGCTAGTTAGAATAGGATATTTGTACTTATTGTATATAATTTTGTAGGTTTGTACTTACTGTATATAATTTCATAGTAGGCTTAGAACTCTCTTACTTAAACAAAAGGGGGAGGTGCTGCAGGAGTACCTTCTGCTGCTTCAGCCAATAGTCGCTGAAGCATGAGCCCACAATGCTGCGGGAGCGCTTTCCGCTCTGTCAGCCAATAGCCACTGAAATACCAGCACACTGGGGCGTGGTATATTTCTCTTTAAACTTTATCTCATGGAAAAATCCTGCTTTATTGGGAATTTTTCCTGTGGATCATTATGAAGACGATTTCTCCCTCAGCTGTACTGTCTAATTGAAAATATGATGTTAGTTTAAATAGAGTTTTGATGAAGCAAGGAAGTGTCACATAGCTAGAATTTATGAGTTTTTACTGAGGAACTATATAGATAGTGGCTTAGTTAATAATAAAGAAAAACAGTTGAGACCCAGTAGCCCAGCTAGCTTAAATTCTTCTAACTTTAATGTTGGGAGATGTGTTCACAGGTTTCAGAGTGCATCATAGCTGAAACAACGCTTTAAAAATAACTTAAAGTTAGACTAATATGTTTTTATCAAATAGCTTTGATGTGGAAAAACCCAAGAAAACAATCTAAAATTTTAGAAAGGCACGGAGTTGAATTCAGAACTCGTTAAGGTCAGGGACCAAATGCAATTATTACTGGCTGATGTGCCTTTCTTGCTAGGAAAGTGACCAAAGGAGATGATTAATTCCCTAAACCCACTTTTGCCCTCAACTTCCTGATATCAAAATCTATTGCGTGGGTATGTACCCTAAAGATTTAAAGTAGAGCTGACTGATTCTTTAACATATATAAAATCTCAGATTTGTGATTGCTTTAAGATTCCTTATAAGATTACCTTTTGAGATAAGTAATCAAGTGACCAGTTCCTTTTATAGCTGCAGAATGCAGCCTGCTAGTAAAAGAGCTGACTGTGAAGATGCTTTGCTTGCCCACATGGTTTAATCTATAACAAGCTAATTGGGTATGAATGTACATGGACTCTAGGGATAATTTGTTTTTCACCTGTAGTATATAAAATGTTTAACCATGTAAGGGATGTGGAAAACATGCTGTTTTTTTTAAATTTGTATTCATTGTAGTCATTCACTTGAAAAATAGAACACAACCACATTGTTATTTTTCTATTGCCTGAAAGATTTTCCTGGGCTATATAACCTTCAAGGGAAAGAATAAAGATAGAGTTAGAAAGAAGGAAAAGTAAAATATCAAGAATGGGAGAATTAGGAGGAAAATATTAAGATAGTTAGAAGGAAAGCATCACAAACAAAGATAGAGTTAGAAGAAAAACATTAAGAGACACAGGAGGGACATTTACGGATAGAGATAAAAACAGAGACCAAAAAAAAAAAGAAGGAAATCATTGGAAAACTGTGTGAGTGTCTTTTTCCCTGAACCCCATCAGACAGTCTGATTCTGTGGATTCCTTTTGAGCCCTGTACTGCTGGATGCTGGTCCCCCAGGCAGTGATACGCTTCTCCTCTGCTGGTGGGAATGCAACCTTGTGCAGCCACTTTGGAAATCGATGTGGTGGTTTCTCAGAAAACTGGGAATCAATCTACACAGGACCCAGCTATACCAGTCTTTGGCATAATACCCAAAGGATGCTCAATCATACAACAAGGACATTTGCTCAACTGGGTTCAGACCAGCACTATTTGTAATAGCCAGCACCTGGAAACAACCTAGATGTCCCTCAACCAGTGAACTGGATTAAAAAATTGTGGTACGTTTACTCAATGGAGTATTACATGGCTTAAAAAAAAGATACCAGGAAATTTGAAGGCAAATGCATTGCATGGAAGTAGGAAAAGAAATCATCCTGAGTGAGGTAACCCGGACTGAGAAAACAAACATGGTATGTACTGACTCAGCGTGAAATATTAGCTGTAAATTAAAGGATAATCACACCACAGTCCACAGACCCAGAGAGACTAGACAGCAAGGAGAGTTCTGGGGAACTCTGATCTCCCTGGGAAGGGGAAATAGAAGAGATTTCATGAGTGAACTGAGGGTGGCTGGGGCCGAGAACATGAGTACATAGCTCTCATACAACTGTGAGAACAAAGGAGATAAAGTTGTGGGGGCAGAGAGGAAGAATGCTGAAAGAGAATGCTGGCAAGGGGGTCCTTTTGGGGTCAGGTAAAAACCTGGTGCAAGGGACTCTCCCAGGAAGCTACAAGGATGCCTCCAGCTAAGACTCCTAGCAGCAACAGTTACATAGCCCGAGCTGGCCATCTCCTGTGACCGGATTGGTGCTTGGTCCAATTGTCATCAGAGAGACTCATCCATCAACTGATGGATACAGATGCGTATCCACAGCCAAACGTTAAGCAAATCTCAGAGAACCTCACACAAAGGGTGGAGAAAGGATTGTAGGACTCAGAGGGGTCAAGGACCTCACAAGAAAATCCACAGAATCAACTCACCTGGTCTCATAGTGGTTCACAGAGACTGAACCAACAACCAGGGAGTCCACAAGGGACTTATCTAGGCACTCTGTGTATTTGTTACAGTTGTGTAGTGGGTCTCTTGTGGGACTCCTAACAGTGGGAGCAGGGGCTGCCTCTGACTCTTTTCCTGGCTTTTGGGACCCTACTCCTCCTCATACTGGACTGTCTTGCCCAGCCTTAATACATGGGGAGATGCTTAGTCTTTACTGAACCTCACATGCTCCGCTTTGTTGACACTCATGGGAGAACTACTCTTTTCTAAACAGAGATGGAGGAGGGTAGACTGTGGGGTGGGAGCAGAGGGGGAGTGGGGAGAGGGTCTTGGAGGAGAAGAGGAAGGGAAAACTGCAGTCAAGATGTAGGATAAAAAAATAAATTCATTAAAAAGCAATAAGATAAAAAGATGTATGGAGCCATATTTACCAAGTGTACTGTGCCCATCTTTGAGCAAGGTTCTTCACTTGGCTATGTTTCATAGTAACTTTTTCATTTCTTTCTTCAGATTACTTTCTCCTCCTCCTCTTTCCCCTACTTGCAGGAGTCTCTGTCTCTCTGAAGACATTAAGAAACTTTTTTAAAATTTACTAATTTTACTTTTCCATTCAATGGTCTTGTTTTCAAGTTGCCATATTATTCTCCATGAGTTCATGTTGCCCAGAGTGCATCAGCTGCTTAGAAACTGGCTCATGTGAATGTCACTCTTTTGATGGGTTTAGTTATTTTTATTTTTCCCAAGGAATGTTTTTTATGAAGGCCCTTGGGACAAGGCTGCAGAACTAAAGGACAAAGTGGGATGCTGAGAAGAGGAACTGGAGTGGGGATGTACAGATGTATACTGGTGCCAACCCTTGACCGCCCAGCCGTGCTTGAGTGAGCTTCAATGGCTCTTGGCTACTCTAGGGATTATTGGACCATCCCTAGCTTTCCCATCCCACGGGGGAGAATGCCAGGATGACTATCTGCCTAGAGGAATGGAGGAGAGAAAGAAAAAGAAACACAGACAGAATTTCTTCCCACCTCATGCATTGTGCCCCTCAATCTGAATAGACGCCTGAATCCCAGTAGAAGGAACTGGATGGTGGTAAACGTGGTAAATACAAGAGAGAACCTACGTGCTGCGTTAGTGCGGTGGTCGAGCATTGTTTGTGACTAGGGTCAGGTAGTGGATATTTGTGACACTCATGACCGTGTCCTGGTGTTTGACATCAGCGAGTCCTTGCATGCACCTCACCCCCTATAGCTGTGTCCTCTTACCCCATAGCATACTTCACCCTACTTGATATGGGGAAACAACTCAAGCAACCAGTCTTTAGCCCCTCACCTGTGATCTGCAGAGGCTCCTGGGTTTATTACTGGCCCTCTTGTGATTCCTTGTTTGTGGCCCTTCGCGATGAGCAGACCCTTTGTGGATGTGGCAGGCCACTGTAAAACCAAGCACCTAAGACCAGCGGAGGGCAGCCTACAAGACAGTCTTCCAGGAAAGCCCTCTGGGGACAGACGTGAGGGCCTCCCATAGGAACCCCCAGGAGGGTCTAGAAAGCATAAGCAGCTTCTCCAGAGGCAGGCACTGCCAGCTCTTCTGCAACAGCTTATTGAAGTTGAATCTTAGAAACGTTAATCATGGGAGAGGGAGAGTTGGAAGTTCACAAGTGTGAATGAAGAGGCCAAATAAAAACCCTTGACCGGAAGCCCCTAAGTCTGCTCTCCTGCTCTCAATGAGCGTCTTCACCTACTCTGTAAGGAAAAAATTGAATATGTAAATTAAATATAATTCAATATAAATCTACCATTGGGATATTTCCTCTGAGTTTTTTAACATGGGCAAAACAGTTATCTTTTTTCATTTAATATTTCCCTTTTATTAGACAAGTTATTCCTATGAGCGTGCTCTCTCTCTCCCTCTGTCTGTCTATCTGTCTCTCTCTCTCTTACACACACACACACACACACACACACACACACACACACACACATGCATGTGCATGCACACACAAAACCTGAACCAGCTTGCATGGACTGGGCTCCACAGGATAAAGCTAGGAAGTTGCTTTATTGTTCTGCTTTCAATGTAGCAATTTCTTTCATGTTTCTTCCTCACTCTTGGTGACAGTTTCTGCTCACCCTCCTTCTTGAGGTATTAAACAGGTAGTGTGCTCTGACATTGGGCTCCATGCTCCCTTTCGCCTTGAGGTTGGACCCCCAGGTCTGTCTCCTTCTTCACATCTTCCTTCTGTCCCTTGTGTCAGAGAACAGGAGGAGTGAGATGTAAAACGCAGAAAGAATCATCTTATTTAGGGGGGCTGTCTGTGAGTTTTGCCTTTTTTTCTGGGCTATTTTGTCATGGCAGGCTCCTGACACTGACTTTGTCTCTAATTGAACATCCTTGTGAGCTTTCTGACCATGACTACCGTGTCTGTCCCTGTCTCATGGCCTGCACAGGTCTTTTCTCATGGAGTTGTTCTGTGTCATCCTGTGTCACCTTTCAGTATGGGTGAGTTTTTACCAGACAACTTGTGTCTGGTGAAATTGTTTAAGGCCATTCAATCCATTGGTGATTGGCTTCTGATTCTGCTAATGTGGGCTGTACTGAGAAGTTAATCATCCTATTTGTTGGTAGCATGTTGGAGCAGGTCCACAGGTTTCTACATCTCAGGATAGGTATGAAGAGAACGTGTGTGTGTGTGTGTGTGTGTGTGTGTGTACATACATGAGAGACTTCGACAGTCACCTTTTAGTCATTCAAGTTCCATAAAAGGCAGAATTTACGTGAACAAAATAAGGCAAGTCAATTAAAGGCATTTACATGGTTTTAGTTCAGAATCAAACCTAAATGGCAATATATACAAATGGTCAAGATGTGATGTTTGATATAAAATAAACAAATTGATGCATCCCTAGCCTCACGGCTGAGCAGCAATCCACTGAACACGGTTCTTACATCCATGGAAATCCCTGTGTTACAGCAGAGCGGAGGTTGTTTTCCTCCAGAGAGCCTGTAGATGTCACTAAAGTAAACGCTCTCTTACCTCTGATTTGCTAATGGAGAACAGCTGCTCAGAAGGTGAGAATGGGTATTGTAAAGTCCATCTGTGTTACATCACATCATAAAGGAGGGGCAGAAGCTCACCTCCCTTAGCTTTCGTACCTAGCAGGATGGCCACCTCCTTCCTCCTTCCCACAAATATGTCTCCCGCAGGACTGGAGACAATAGTTTTCTCCTGTACTTTGTATCAACACTGATTCACTAGACACTCTTTTTCAAACTAAGAACATAGCTTTCCCGTGAAAGGCTAGTCAGGTATGAGCTTTCACAGACAAGAGGCAATTTCATGTAACCCAGAGAGTATTGGTCTCTTGCATTTGATACTGTTTAGGATATGTTCAGCTGGGATCCTGTTCTGAATGGTGTTCACATTAATGTGTAGGACATTTCATCCCAGGGTGGCCAAGACTGAGCTGTACATAAGAAAATTAGCTAAGAGTGGGCACTGTAACACGAAGTGTGGAACACTCTCTCCAGGTTATCCTGTGGTTTGCTTGCCTGAGACAAGGAGCCCTCTTTAGTGACTTAGAGGGTTTAAGAGGAAACCTCAGTAACTGAGCTTGGATATAGCTGTATATATCTGTGATCTTAGCACTTGGGAGACAGGGGCAGAAGAGCCAGGAGTTCAAAGACAGCCTAGGCAATAACAGATCCTGTAAGCAGTCACAAAAAATAAAACCAAACAAAGAATAAAGAAATATAAGCAAGTAAAAGGGCAGACATGAGGATAAGGCATTTGGAAAACATAAAGTTCTGTGATAAAGATTACAGTTCAGGAGCAGACATATACAAGACTGAGAACTATTAAGAGGGTCTAAAAGAAAAGGCAATCCAGAAAGAATGGACCACGGGGACTCTTGAACAAGTGTAATTACTAATTGCATGTTCCATACAGAGGACTTGTCATTGACATAAGGCTCCTCCGCGTAGCTTCTGTTCTTTTTGGTGAGTAAGCTTGTGTGTTAGATGCAATCTTAAACTTCAAAGCAGCACAACCAGACTGTAAGCATTTAAATATTTTCCACAAATTTTAGTCCTCCTACAGGCATGTCCTAAAGAACTCTTTCTTGTGCATTATCGACAGTTACTTGAAGAGACTGTGCCCCATTTACACAACACAGAGAGGATCCCAGTGTCCCGACGGAAGGAATCTTTGCAGAGCTCTGTCTTAATGGGGCATGTTTATGTGTGGAATATTTTTGTTTACTCTTTGGCAATGTTGCTAAAAGGGTAAGATTATTCAATTTAATAGATTCAATTAATTAAAAAGTGTATTCTAAAAAGGTTTGTTTTGTTTTAAAGTTAAACACTGCATACTAGCTAGCCCCAAAAGACTTAGTTACACACTTAGGAAAAATTAAAATACGCATGTACATAAAAATGCATTCATAAGTGTTCAAAACTTGTTATGGTGCTGATGTTGGTTGTGGTTATAACAACCACAGAGTAGGAGCAAACCACATATCTGTCACCCAAAGAGTGGATGAGTTAAATGTGCTATGTTCATGCAAGGAAATAAAGGGCAATACAAGGAATATGGTGCTAATAGCTGATACAACATGGACAAACGTGAAAGCACTTCCGGGCCCATCGAACACTTGGACATTGCCACCTGTTGTCATCTACGAAGCTCAGGGTCAAGAACGGTGAATAATAAATAATAATGAAGTTAGAACACACACACACACACACACACACACGAAAGCCTCATAATTTTAAAAGTAAATCTACAGTTTTGTGTAGCTTTGACTCCACAGCTATCCTTGGCTGCATCTAACCTGTTTTAGTTAGGGTTTCTATTGCTGTGAAGCTACACCATGGCCACAGCAACTCCTGTAAACGGAAACGTTTAATTGAGGCTGGCTTGTAAGTTCAGAGGTTCAGTCCATTATCATGGACGAAGCATGGAGGTTTGCAGACAGACATCGTAATGGAGAAGGAGCTGAGAGTTCTACACTGGAATGGCAGGCAGCAGGAAGAAGTGACTGGGATTGGCTTGAGTTTCTGAAACCTCACACCCCCCAAACCCCAGTGACACACTTCCTCCACAAGGCCACACCTCCTAATAGTGCCACTCCCTATGAGCCTTTGGGGTCTGGTTTTTCTCAAACCACCACATTCCCCTCCCTGCCCCCCATGGGCTTATAGCTATATCACAATGCAAAATTCAACTTCAAACATCCCCATAGTGTATAATAGTCTCAACATTGCTTAAAACTCCAAAGTTCAATGAGACTCAAAGCAATTTTTCACTTGTAGACCCCTGTAAAATCACAAGGAGAAAGCAGATCACAGACTTGTAGCTTACAGTGGCACAGGGTATACCTTACTGCTTTGAGAGATAAGAAAAGGGAGCATAGTGAGGAAACACTGGACCAAAGCAAGACTGGAAATCAGCTGGGCAAACTCCAAACTCTGCATCTCCATATCTGATGTCCAAGTACTCCTCAGATCTCCTTTTTTTTTTTTTTTTTTTTTTTTTCAGCTTTCTTGATGACAGCACATGTCCCTCTCTTGGGCTGGTTCCACACTCAGCAGCTCTCCTTGGCTGGTGTCCCACAGCTTGGGGTCTCCAAGTCCATCCAGGCTTCACCTTCATAGCTTCATGCAATGGCTTCTCTAGACCTCCATGCGGGACACCCCTGCTACACACCTGGCCTCGGTGGCTTTCCATAGTCGTAGAGGGAGAATCCATAACCCTTCTCCCTTTTTTTATCTCCTTCACTCTACAGCCAGTATCATGTGGCTGAACCTGCCAAGTTCTGCTGCTTGCTGGGGCTGGAATGTGGTGGCCCCTTCATTCAAATCTCACTTTTACCAGCCAAGCTTGGCTGTCCTGTTACTCTCTCTCTTGACCAGGTGGCCTCAAACTCAAGATCCACCAACCTCTGCCTTCTGAGTTCTGGGATTAAAGATATGTACCACCACACCTGGCCCTAAGCTTTTTCTTAATTCTTTTTTACTTTTCTTTAATTCCTTTTCCTAAGTTGGAATCAATCTTAGGTGAGTGGGTTCTTCTCTGAGGTCCCCACTTTCTTTATTTCACTTAGTATCAGGATTTTTTTTTAATATGTTCACACTTCCTGGAGCCTCTTTCCTCCTCGAACTGTATATTTGAATTTTTTTCTTGATCAATTTTCTCCTTTTTATTATAGTTCTGAATGAATGTGGCCACTAATAGTCACACAACACAGGCAATACTGGAAATGTCCACTGTAAGAGTTGCGTATCCCCAACTCTTCACTTCAGCCTTAGATCCAGGTAGAAAGCAGACGCATTCTTTACCGAAATATCACAAGAGCGATCTTTGGGCTACACTTTAACCGTCTTCTCTGAAACCAGGATCCCACAGTTTAAATCACCCTCAGCCCAAAGGGAGAGGTGCTGCCAGGAGCTGCGGCCTTGTTGGAGGGCGTGTGCTACTGCAGGTGGGCTCTGAGGTCTCAGACACTCAAGGTAGGCCCATGGTCGCTCTCTCTCCCGTGTGCCTGCCCTTCCGCATGTGGAACTCTTGGTTCCTTTCTAGCACCATTTCTGCCTGCATGCCACCACGCTTCCCACCATGATAATGGACTAAACCTCTGAACCTGTACTCCAGCCTCAATTAAATGTTTTCCTTTATAAGAGTTGCTGTGGTCATGGAATCTCTTCACATTTTTTTTGAGGAGGGGAATACTAAAATAAAATTATATTTACAAAGAACCCATTTGCAAAAATTTGTGTATTTCTGTATTGAAATTTTACAGGAACTGAATTTAAATAATTCCTTGATTTTTCCACGAACTCTTTTTGTTCAGAATCTGATTATCTACAGAAGTCTTAAAGCTTTGGAACATAAGCACAGTCACTGTAAGTACAAATGACTTAGGCAATAACCTCCCTTCCCAAATGACAGGGAGCAACCACATGCAGGTCCAGGCAACCCTGTCATTATACAGTGTACCCCAGTGGCCTCTAGCGCACAGTGCTAATGGTGGTCTGGTGAAGTTTTATAACAAGGAAACCGGAATAAGCTTTCCTATGCACTGTGCTCCCTCCGCAGATGGGTGCTCCCAGCCCTTCCGTAGCTTGGTGCTTTACCATGTACCTCTGCTCTGGAAGCTCGGGATGAACGGGATGAACGGGATTTGGCTGAGACTTCAGAAGTAGGTTGGGGAGTGTCTCTGTGGCGACACTTCAGCTCGCCGTACTCTTTCGTCCACTCCTCCTACACTGCTGTTTCTAAAGTCAGTAGACAGATGTTTAAACAACACTTCTCCCCTTCAGAATGGAAAGACTAATGGAAGAAAAGATTTATATACCTACTGCAAACTCATTTAAACGTGCAGGCAGAAGGCACGTTCTTCTAGGCAGCCTAGCAGAGATAGAGAAAACCACATACACAGAAGAGTAAAATTGAAATAATCTCGAACCTCAACTCCTCCGTGAGTGCTGGAGGTCTAACTCAGGTTCTCATGCGTGTTTGAGGGAACTTTATCCCAGAGACAGCTCCTCCACACCGTCACATTTCATATGAATACTACCTCTGCTTTATCAAACACAGCTTCCGTTAGCTGAAGTCATTCTAGTTTATTGTTTGTATATTTAATTGAAGAATATTTGAGCAAGTCTAACTGTGAAAAGTCTTTCAGAGATTTCAGTTTGGGGTAGTGTATAAAAATGTAATGGTAGAAAATGTAGTTTCGTACTAAAAGGATTGAGAACTAACCCTGTGAACATTATTGTGTGTGCTATTCATTTTTGGTTTTGTTTTTTAAAAAAATCTTCCTTGTTTTATTTTTCTTGAGTTCTTCATTTTCTTCTAAATTTTATTGTCAAATTGCAATGCTCCTATTATCTTTTTTGCAAGTTGCCCTATGTTGTTTTGGGAACACAGGTACGCAGAAAATCTGATAACAGTTTTGCCTCTCTCAGAAGTCAGCAGAGTCACTGGGGCAGGGCTGTGGCTTTGGTGTTTAGGGATCACCAAGGTGCTGGTCCGCAGGGATAAATGCCACTCAACATTGCATTGCTCGGCTCGGGATGTGTTGTTAACCTCTGACACCGGGTTCCGTTTTGTCTTCTTTCACATGAGTGGGAACCACTGATCAGTTATGACAGGCATCTTCTCGGTGTTTCCTGAGAACTCTGGCTTCTCTTCAACGCTCCAGCTCCTCTCCCCAGACTCCCACAGTAGCCTCAGCTAGTCCTCACCTGTGTGGTCACCTCCTGTTCACATTTGCTGTCTTGTCATCATTTTTCTTTTAATTCTCCAGATCTTTGAGCATTTTTCATCTCATCAATTTCCTGGATCCAGAATGACACTCCACTTCATCATTTTCCGTCTTTATGTTGGATCAAACTCACTAAGTTTTTTTTTTTTCCTTTGGGGATTTTCAGTTTGTTTCTTTCTTTCTTCTTCTTCTTCTTCTTTTTTTTTTTTTTACATTTATTTTTAGCCTACTGTAGCACTATTAAATCCAGACTTCCTCCCAGTTAATCCCGAGTTTCTGTGGATTATCTCATCATCATATCCAAACATACTTGCCAAATATACAGTCTTCCTCTTGGCGTGGGTCAATCCCCCTGATCTTTTATGAGCCGCACTGAGACCTTTGAAGTAGAAATCCCTCTCCCCACTGCTGGCAGCAGGCAGATGCACAGCTGCCTGGGGCTGATGTTGGGGGGAGATGGACAGGCATCATTGCCAAATAACTGTGGCATGGTAAACAATGCAGAGTACCTTGCCAAAGCCTTTGCTCTTTACTGTTTGGCTCTGAAGGCAATGAATGAGGTTAGCTATTGAGAAAAAGCTTCGATTGGGAAAGGCTAGAATCCCACCAAATACTGAAGCCAGCATAGAATCGTCTTCGTTAGCAGAGTATATGAGACACTTTTATAAGGAAACCATTGTCGTTCTGTACTGGCTACAGATATCCTTTTAGTCGGGAGAATTTATTTGCTCTGACTTTCTCACATTAAGGTGGCTAGGTCTGGACTGAATGCGGCCACCACTGTGAATCCCAGCAGAGTACACAGAATTTACAGCTGTTTCCATGCAGTGTGGACCGTATAGATAGACCACATGGAAGGGAGACAACAGATCTGGGACTAAATGTCCGCAATTAGAAATTACCTTTGTGCAGCGTATTGTAAGCAACAGCATAAAGGCCCCAGTGAAGCCGGTATGATCTGAGGATCTGGTTAGGAGCCTCCTTAGATGGCTCCTTCAGGAGCTTCTGTTGAGGGTGCCCCCCACTGAGCAGGCAGCATGGGAGTCAGCGTACAATGATCTGAAGCCGCCTGGGGTAAATTTGCACCTGCTTAGCGTAATTTTGCTGCTTGGTGGAAACAAACATTTTCTGGGAAGCAAACAAACGTTCTCTGGGAAAAAGCGCTTGCGTAACAGTGTTACTGATACTACACATTTGCACAGGAAAAAAGCAGAAAGACCTATGCTCTCTGTCCCTAAGCAAGTGTGCAGGAATTGATCACCAGAGAGTACTGTGGCCAGGCTAGCCTCTGGTTAATATATGAAAGAATACAGTTGCCCAGAGTTTACTCTTTAGATACTAGGCTCGGCTGCAGGAGGACTGTTCTAGCTAGCTCCATTTGTCTTTTATGTAGCAAGAGCTGTTTGACGATTTCAAAAGATGGACCTGGCCTGTCAGGGATACTACAGTGCAGGCTACTTTTGCCTGTTGTTCATGAGGATTTGCTTAGTATGAATCATTGAACTGGTGCAGGATTTTTGCGAGATTTGCTGAAATTGTATGACAAGAGTTTTCAATGAACAGTCAACTTCTCACACAGTTCTCAGGAGTCTTTAAGAAACAGGATGGAGTATGTCATTTTTTTTTACTGGGAATGCTCTGTTCATATGCTTTAATTAGTCTTGCAAAAAATTTCTTGTGGAAAAAAATTAATATTTAATACTTACATTTAAATTCAGTGTCTAAAGGCCCGATAGAAAAATGGCTGTGAAAATGGGAGAGGGAAGCCTCAGAATAGAGCCGTACAAGCCCAGCCTGGGCTACCCGAGGCCGTGTCTCAGAACTAGAAATGCACACCACAACAAGAAAGCAAACTGTAACTGTGGTGAATGCGGTGTCCCAACAGTCTCAGTATCTGAACACACGGTCCCCAGTCGCTGGGGTCTTTCGGTTGGTTTGGGTGGCGTGGCCCGCCTGAACGGCATCGCTGAGGCATCGCTGTGGCTGGACTTTGGGTTTCTGAGCCCGCGCCACTCCCTGTTTGCTCTCGTCTCATGCTTGCAGTTTGAGGTGTGAGCTCTCAGGGCACGGAGCCCCCAACTCCCGGCTCCCGGCTGCCATTCATCACCTATCAAGACGGAATTCTTCAGCTCTTGCTTCTCTGACGAACCCTGGAAAGATTTTTCGTTCTTTAAAAGTCATTTCTACATAGTTTCTTTTCCTTTTTCCTCTTTTTTGAGAAAGCTAGTGTAACACGCTGAGGGACAGTTATCTTTCTATTTTACCTTGTATCTATTGATTTACTGAATTTATGAACTCTCATAAGTGTTCAGTTAATGGTTTTAGGCTTCCTGGGAAGAATATAAGATAACCCATTTCCAATTTTGAAAGCTTCAGGATCTGCTTTAATTTTGTGTAGTTAGTAGAACCTTCTGGAACTATTCTAAATACTGGTGGAGATTGTGGACACTAATGGCTACTTACTATTAGTTGCTAATAGAGTTTACTAAATGGGAGAATGTTATCCAGTTTAGATACTTTTGCTTTTTTTGAGGCTTTACACCCTAGCTAACGCCTCCCCTCGGGGCTCAGTGAACAGGGAATCCCGCAGGAGAGGAGGCAGAAAGATTGGAAGACTCAGCGGGGATGGAAAGCAATGAGGAAGCCAGACTTTCTAGATACAACAGGACTGCCACACGTGAGCTCACAGAGACTGTGCAGCAAGCACAGGGCCTGGGAAGTCTAGACCAGATGGGGTCCCAGAGCTCAGAAGGGAAGGGGACCCAAGGCCCCATTCCTAACCAAGAATCACCTCCAACTGGTGACTCTGCACAAAGGGAAAATTGCTTCTCTCCAAGGGGCCTCACCAGGCACACAAACCACACTTAAGCTCAGACCCATGCCCAGCAGTACGTGGCCAACACAAAGGAACTCAAAGGTATTTGGAGGGTTTTTATTTTTTTTTGCCTCCCAATGGTTTATCTGGACTTGATTTTTTGTTTGTTTTTTTCTTACAGGTCTTTTGCTTATATGTTGTAGTTTCTGATTTTGTTTTTATTGGCTTTCTCTTTGTACGAATATGTGTGTCCAGTGTCTTTATCTGTTTCTTAGGCCTTTTTGCTTCCCCCGTTTGTTTTGTCCTATTCCAGTTTGTTTTTGAATTATCATCATCATTGCTTTGTTCAGGTCCCTGTTTGTATTCCAATTAGAGAGAGAAAGACAGGGTATGAATTTGCATGGCAGGGTATGTGGGGAAGACCAGAGAGGAGTTGGGAGACAGGAAACCATAATCCATATATTATTTGAAAAAAATCTATTTTCAATAAAAGAAATTTGAAAGGAGGAGTAGGATTTACTATCATCAAAATGATTATTAGCAGCTGGTGATATAATCGCATACTTTGTGTGTCTGCTGTGAGTCTTCATAAAATATGTCACACAAAAACATTCTTCTTTAAGAGCTCCAGTTTCCCAGGAGAAAATTTCAGAACGCAAGCTCCAGGAACCAGAATATGTAGCTGACTGTGTCTTTCTTGAAGAGGCTGTGCTGCTGTGAGTTCTAAACTAATTATTGGCTGCTCATTTACTTTGTTTCTCAATCATACTGCAAATCTAAAAACCAAAATGAAAAAAATTAGATTGGGTTTTTCTTATCTTTCATTTAACTGCTGCCTCGGGCTCAGAAATGGATATTTAATCTGGAAATTTTACTGTTTCACAAAAGGACTTGCTAATGTTTTCTTTCTCATAACTTACCTCTTCTCATTCTGGTTTCAGGAAATCATCTGTGGCCAGCTTGCTGTTTTGGTATTTCTGTTAGCTCATGACTCATGACCTTTTGTCTTCCTTCCTTCATTTGGTCTTAAATCATCTTAAAGGGAGCCTATATAAACGATAAAAAGATAGGACAAATCTGACAAAGTTGTCCTCCTTTGCATGTGTCCCATGGCATGTGCACACAACTGTACATCATACCCTGCCCTGTGGGAAGTCCAAGGCCCTCCCCCCTCCATCCAGGCCTAGGAAGGTGTGCATCCAAATAGACTAGGGTCCCAAAAAGCCAGTACATGCAGTAGAAACAGGTACCAGTGTCATTATCAATGGCTTCTCAGTCAGCCCCCGTTGTCAGTCACATTCAGAGAGTCTGGTTTGATCACATGCTCATTTAGTCCTGGTCCAGCTGGATTTGGTGAGCTCCTCTTAGATCAGTCACACCGTCTCAGTGGATGGATCAATCCCTCGTGGTCCTGACTTCCTTGCTCATCTTCTCCCTCCATATGCTCTTCAACTGGACCTTGGGAGCTCAGTCCATTGCTCTGATGAGGGCCCCTGTCTCTATCTCCATCCATCACTGGATGAAGGTTCTGTAGTGATATTCAAGATATTCATCAGTGTGACTGTTGGACAAGGCCAGTTCAGGCACCCTCTCCTCTGCTGTCCAAGGACCTAGCAGGGGACATCCCCATGGACACGTGGGGTCCCCTCTAGAACCAAGTGTCTTGCCAACCCTAAATATTTTTAATTTCTTCCTTTTCCTCATTCCAATTCCTTCCATGTCCCCTTGAAAGCCCCCTTCTCACTTCCTCTCAAATGAGCTTTTTTTCTTAATGATTATTGTTACACACACACATACACACACTTATATACATCCGCACACATATATACACATATACAAATATACATACACACATACATATACATACACATATACATACACACATACACACATACACATACGTACACTCACATACACACATACACACAACACACACTTATATATACTTGCAAAATTATGTAAATACAATTTGTAGTATCTTTTTAGTAGTGATTGTATTTATATGATTTCAGGGCTGACCACTTGGTAATGGACAACCACTGAGGTGGCTCCCTCTCTCAGTTTTTAGCTGCCTGTAGCTCTTTGTCTAGGAGTGGGATCCTGTACAAGTTTGCTCTTCCTCATTAACAAGCCTTTTGGTATTGTCATTATTCTGGCCTTATTTAGGCAACCATATTGTTGAGGAATTATGAGTGATGCTTGGGTCATTTCTAGGAGATATAGTATCACAACAGATTCCTGGTCCCCTGGCTCTTATAATCCTTCTACCTCCTCTTCCAAGATGTTCCCTGAACTAGAAGTGTAGCAATTATGTTGTAGATGAATCATCTGTTGTAGATGCATCTGAGGCTGGGTGCCTCACAAATCAGTTTCTCTCTGTATCTGGTCTGGTTGTGCTTTTCTGTAATGGTCTTTATCTACAGCAAAGAGAAATTGCTTTGATGAGGGCTGAGAGCTATGCTTACTTGTGATTGATAAGTTTTATGGAGCAGTTAGGAATTATACTAGTCTATGAAAGTGGTGGTAGGTTCTTCTCTGAGATTCATGGCTGCAGTAACCTTGGGTTATTGGCTAGAATTCTAATACCAGGCATGGTTTACCTCCTGTTGAGCAGATCTGAAGTCCAATCAGATAGCTATTGGTTACTGCCAAGATGTTAATGCCACTATTGCAGCTTTAGCGAAATCTTGCCCTGCTGGTCATTGTTGTAAATCATAGGTGTCCCAGCTGGGGAAGACTTTGTTGGCTTCCTTCTTTGGCAGCTGCAAAACACCTTCTGGTATGCTAAAGCTAGTCTCCAGGGAAACTGTTTTCAGGTCATGTTGGAACCCGCTGACCTGCCAAACAATACCTGAAATGGGGAGTAAGGATTAAGAAAGAAAGAGACAAAAGACAGAAGAGATGATTGGGAGGGCTCTCAGAGAATACTGCAGCAGCCCTGAATTCATTTCTTATTATAGCCCTTGTATACCCAAAGCAAAAGAGGTAGGGTTAGGGAGGGGGAGACAATCTTACCATGGTTCAAGGAATAAACAAGCATAATCAACTCCTTGGTTCTCAAAACATCTAATAACCACGCCTGTGGCCCAACATCCTGGTGTGTGACCACGAGGAGCAAGAACAGGCTTGAACTCCCTGACCTTAAGTCAAGATGGAATGGAGTCACTGTGGGCTCCCACAAGATCAGATCCAGTAGGAGTCTTTAGAGTCCTGTGTTCTAAGTGGGTTTTGTCTAGGAGGAGACTAAGGGCAGCAATGATAACCTGTATTGTTTTGTA